GCCCGCCACCCGGCCTCGCCTGATCGCGCCCGGCCTCTCCCAGCTCCCCGGCGCCAGCGCGATCCCTCGGGCCGGGGGCGCCGGCGGGATGGCCGAATTCCCGGCCAAAGTCAGCACCCGCACCAGCACCCCCGCCGGGGCGCCGGCCCTGCATGCCCCCGCCTTGGACCTGGAGTTCCTCAAGTCCCCCTTCGGGATCCTGATGCTCGTGGAAATCGTGAGTAGCGGACCTGGTGTCCCGAGCGTGCCTCTGAGCGCGTGCAGAGCGCCTCTCCGCCGGAAAAGCAGCCGGCCCGTCGGCCCTTCTGCCGCTGTCCAGCGTGGCGGGGCTCTGCTGGCCGGGAGTGGGTGGTCTTGCTGCGCCCGAGAGCGGTTCATTCGCACTGGGCGGAGAAGCGTGTCAGCTCCTTCCCAGGTCGAGCTAAAGGGTAGCAGTCTCCTTCCAACACGGTGCTAACCCTAATCCCGGCTTGTGAACCTCGGTGTCTGGGCTTCAGTCCACCTACAATATTAGCTAGCTCCAGAGAAAGCACACGGGGCTTTGTGGATTTGATTTCCATCCTCACTGAGCCCAGGAGCAAAGGATGGGTGGGTGGGGGACTACAAAAAGGATGGGTGGGTGGGGACTTCTCCTGCAACTACCACCTTGCTGGGTGAGCTGCTCTGGGGGAGAGGGACCGGCCTCCCAAGCCCTGGCCAAGCCCCTTCCCCACTGCCCTTCCTGGCTGGCCTGAGGAACTTGATGGGGACTTTCCTCTATCACCTGAGAACGCCCTATCACCTCGGACCTGGCCAGGTTTTGTATAAGAACAGTGGATGTGTATAAACAAGTAGCCTCAAGCTTAAATTAGTCATTGTCCTTTTCTTGCATTTTACAGTAGTAATTCTTTTCAGTTCGTTATGACTATTACCCCAGGTTTTTAAGTTTTACAGGATGATTTCTGTTTTTGTTGTTATCTTACTTCCTTATAAGTTGAATATTTGCTTACTCTTTAGGAATTTAGAGATCCATTTTATCTAAGAATTTTAGTTCTAATAGCGTGCACTGTTGTGTCACTTATTTTATCCTGTTTATTCATATCGTGTTGGTGCACTTAATCTTATGGCACCTTTTCTTTTTCTTTCTCTGCTTTCTTTTTAAGCTGGCCATTGGTCCAAATTAATAAAATCTGATATCCTCACTGCACCAGGCTAAGTTGCTGCGATGGGTGGACTCAGCCTGTAGTGCTCAAAAGTGTCATTTTTTCCAGCTGTGGGGCCATTGTGCCACAACTGCACTCAATAGTGCAGTTTAGGGGAGTGAAAGAAATCTCCTTCCCCACCCAGGACCCCAAGAGAGTGGAATGGGCAACTGGAAACAGACCCCCAAGGCAGAGACCCTGAGCCTCTTGACCTAAGGCAGCCATCTCTGGTTGGGTTGAGTGTTCCAGAACCAGCCACAGCACTTGGACATGCTAAGGATGAGGTGCTCTGATCTTTGGGAAAAGATGAAAAGACGGGGGTGTGTGTGTGGAGGGATCCATCTCAGGCAGAGTTTGGAAAGCAGGGCATCCAAGAGAAGGAGAGGAAGAAGCAGTGATGGAGTCTTCCAGGCATGAAGGAGAAGGCAACCAGGATGGTCCTCAGCTGGACAGAAGGAACCTCTGGGGGAGAGGAAGTGGGGTTGGCTGGTTGGGAGGGAAAATGAGTCCCAGCAGGAGTAAGAACATGGCCAGGAGCCCCATCTTCCCTTTCCTTAAGAAAAGCTGTAAGCTATTCCTCTTTTCATGGTCTTGCTCTTGTCACAAGATATGAAACATGGCAGCCGGTGAAAGTTTGGCCTCATCTGAAAGGCGCCAAGAGATCTAATGTCTCTAATGGTCTCTGATCTCTAATGAGATAGGGGACTATCTCATGCCTCCCCCGGAACTGGTGGATGAGCACCATATTTTGCTGGAGTGGAAGGTTCTAGGACTGCTTGCTTCAAAGAACTAGACAATGTAAAATTGTGATGCCTCTCGATATGGACAGAGAGTTTTCAGTGGCACAGCTCCCAGCTGCAGGGAGAGGCAAACTCACTTTTGAACGCCTGTGGTGGAAACACATAAACCAGCAGGCCTCCCTGCAAGTAGAATAATATGGAGTAGAGCATTCCCCATAACATACTAGCTTTCTACCAAGAATGGTGTTTCCCATCTTTTTTAATGCCAAGGGACTAGGTTAGACCTCGGTCATATTTTCCAAGGGACCAGAGACAGGGCCAGATATAGAGGAGGCCAGCTTTCTCCAAGCTGAGGTCCTCCAGCTGGGTCCCCCTGTGGTGTGAGCGTTATAGTCCCACACACCTGGAGAGCTCTGGTGTGGGGGAGGCCGAATGAGATCCTTCCTCAAAGGCTGAGATGTTTGGTGTGCAAGGATACAGGTGTGCAAAGAACAGGGGTAGACTGATATCTCCCTTGTGCCTTAGGATGCAAAGCTCATGAGCTGCAGTCTTTGTCATGGGGGTGGGGGTTGCGTCATGAATGGCAAACATCAACTCCTGCCATTCCTAAAACCACAAAAGAAGATGGTAATCCGGAGCAGAGATGCACCCATCATTTCAAAGGGGGAGGGAGCAGATAATGCCAGGAAATTCCCATGCTATTTCTCATACCCCCCAATTCTTGTCTTGACCCCTTCCTCTGAAAAATGTATAGAATTTGGCTCCTGCTTTGCAAGTGCCAAAAAACCCTCCTACATGTTCCAAGAGCACAAGCAGTACACCACGAAAAGGTCAGGGTGGCCGAACGCTTACTACATCCCCGGAGTTGTTTTCAGCAAATCGAGTTCTGATTGTGGAACTGCAGTATGCAGACTGCCAATCTTCCCACAACCTTGAGTGACAATGCACGTATTTATCTGTTTGTTTGTCCAATTTATATAATAATTTATCATTGATCATCTAGCTAAGGAAATGTATAGCGGTTGCATTCCCACGACAGGCTCATCTTGGTCAGTTTTTGCAGCAGGCAAGCTGTGTTAGTTTATGGTAGCCAAGAGTCTCACAAAAGCATGTGGGTTTTAATAAAATGTGTTAACTGGAAAACTTACTCCCAGACTCCTTCTGATTTTGGGTTAGTTTTTGGATAGTTTTATGTGTTGTCCTAATCCGTCCCCTTTGTTTAGTTGATGGTGCAGAGTGCAGATCTAGAAAACCAGGTCTTATAGGAACTACCGAATAGTGATCTGTTTATCCACTTTCAGGAGCAATTAGCTCTCCAGGGTCTTGAGTCCCCCATCCTCAAGTCAAGACCCCACCTGCTTCGACATCCTCTCCTCGGTCTGCTATTTTGAGGTCTAGTAGGGAGTTGGCTGAGCTGGTTTTCTTTTGCTTTGTTTCAAAGTGATACTGGGCCAAACATCCCCTGAAATTCTTTTCTGCTCTGAAAAAAAGTTGGAACGCTCCTTCTTCTTCATCCAACGGACTGAAGACTGGTAGAAAAAAATCAGGCTGGAAAGTTTTTCAGTACTGCACAGCTTGAAAGAGGCAGATTCCAAGCCTCACGCTGTGGCACCACAATAAACTCTTTTCTCACGTTGTAGCCAGCTTGCGGGATTCGAAGATGGGAGACACGAACTCCCTGAGCACGGAAGCTGGCTGGATGTCTTTGAGCCAGTCCGTCTCTCTCAGCCCAAGAGCCAAAGTGGTGCGAGGATGAAGATGCTGGACTAGGAATGGGGAGATCCAGGTTCTAGTCCCCCCCTCAGCTGCAGAAATTCCCTGGGGGACTCCTGCCCCCCTCTCTTGGCCTTAGGAAGAAGGCAATGGCCAAGTCACTTCTAAAAATGGTGCCTCCAAAACTGCATGGACTTGTTTTGGCAGTCACTAGGAGGCAAGGTTGACTTGGTGGACCATAATGTCGGCAGGGCTATTCCTCCCTCAAACATTGGTTTATTGGTTACCTATCGCTGGCCTAGCCAGTTCTAAAGTACAGTGATTAACGGAGGTGGGATCATTTTTCTAGGCTGTTAACAGCATCATTGTATTTACACCCCTTGCTTTGAAGCTTCCACCTGTTTGTGGGGACGACAGAGGAGACTGGATTTAGCTTTCTCCTCTCTGCCACGAAAGGAAAAGAAGATTTGTCAGTGTTGTGTTCTGAGTCTGGCCAGCAGAACCAGTGCAGTCCTGCAGGGAGGGGAGCAAGGGCAAAACAATTTTCAGGTTTGGGGTTAGTGCCTGTGAAAAGACCAGATATTTGACAAAGGTGGAAAGTGATGAAAAACAAGAGTTATTCTTCCTGTCCCAGGAGAGAAAAAAATGCAACTTTGGGGGCTTTTAAAGTTAGACCAAAAAAGGCAAATATGGAATGTGGTGTGAGGGTGACCTATAACATGATGGCATTGCAGTTTCCAAATCCCAGGAAATGACCATTTCACTCTATTCTGAATAGGCCAAACCACATTCAAGGAGGATTCAGAGAAATCAGAACCCCCTTGACGATAAGGGTGATCAGGGCTGGGAAATGAAGCTGTACAAAGAAGGCAAGATTTGGCTTGAAAAGGGAGCGTCTGTGTGTGTGTGTGTGTGTGCAGCGCTAGGATAATACTCTCCAAACACCTGAAAACACTGGCATAAATCTGACCAGGAATATCCACAAGTTGTGGACTGTTGCAGCCACCATCTTGACTTTTTTGACCACATCTTGTGAACATCCCTGAATTTGTCCATTTTCCAGTGGTTGGGGATGGGCTGCAGTCAAGCTATAGGTGTCCCCCAAAGCCCTTCGTATAGAAGGTGAAAAGAGTAACAATAGCAGTGAAGTCTGAATACTTGCATGGACAGTTTGGAAATACAGCTTGTGAATGAAGCTGCACAGACTATGTTTTGTTGAATTGCTGCTGGTGGAGGTCTGTGGGTGGCTTGGCAGCCCAGCTCAGAATGTGCCCAGTTCCCCCCCACCCCGCACCATTTACATCCATGCCTGGTAGGATGTCACACAGAAGGAGTCACAATATGTTTTGCATCATCATCAGGGGGTAGGATGTGGAATTATGGATTTGAGTTTTTGGAAGGCAAATTATGTTTGGTGGAGAAACAGCAAAATCTACCTTGCACACTTAGGAAAGATTCCAAATTATTGGAACAGGTTCAAAGAAGAGCATGAGGATGGAGAGGAATCTGCACATGGAATCTATGAGGAAAGAGAGAGTTTGCTTGGGAAGAGAAAGGCAGTTCTGGGTGAAAGCACTTTTCAA